CCGTGTCCCCATCAGCAGTGCTTGTGCTGGCAATGGGACCAAGAGGAGGGCCTCCTCTGCTGATCTTATTTGCCGAGAAGGCGCATATAGGGAGATATGGTCCTTCAGGTAGCCGGGACCCAAGCTGTATAGGGCTTTGTAGATAATGACCAGCACTTTGAAATGGGCCCGGAAATGGACTGGTAGCCAGTGCAGTTCTTGTAACAGATGTGTTATACACTCCCTGTAGCTGGCCCCAGTCAGTAGTCTGGCTGCAGAGTTTTGCACCAGGGGAAGTTTCCGAACCATCTTCAAAGGCAGCCCCACATAGAGCACATTACAGTAATCCAAATGGGATGTAACTGAGGCATGTGTCCCTGTAGCCAGATCAGACATCTCAAGGAATGGGTGCAGCTAGCGCAGCAGCTTTAGCTGTGCAAATGCACTCCTGGCCACCGCTGGGACCTGGGCATCTAAGATTAGGGATGAATCCAGGAGTACACCCAAGCTGCTGGTTATAGCCAATACTTTGAATTGAGCCTGGACACAGAGGGGCAATCACTGAGGAAAAATCATCTTTCATATAGCAAGTAGCATGAGAAAAAACTTCCAATTGATGCCAATAGGGTGTTTTCCCCACCCTTGTTTATTATTATTATTTGCATGTGTGGGTGGAACAGATGACACTCAAGTGAGTTGCCATTGGGAGGGACAACCTTTCACTTCCCCGATGAACCCTATGACCTCCTATGGCTTTTGCTGTTGTCTTCCCCTCCCTTGGGCTCTTGCTGTTCAATTCCTACTTGTTTAAAGACACACTGACTAATCACCATTATTACTGTCATGGGTGATTATTTTGGTCAAATCTTTTTAGAACCGAACCTTCCTGTCATATAGCATGAACAAGAATGCATGTATTATTGCCTTCTTAATATTTAAGACTGGGATTATTTCCCCCTTAAGATGGCCATGTGATGTGTATCTCCCACTTCAATAATTTCAGAGAAGCTTAACAACTAATTTCATCAACTGGGTGAAAAAATCTGAATCTCTTCCATTTATGTTTCTTCTTTCATGGCTTTTTTTTTCCTGTTTTATTGTATTGCTTCCTCAGCATTCTGTCTCTGATGTTGAGCACCTCATGAAGAAACATCAAGACTTTGAGAAAATGCTGGAGGCCCAAGAAGAGAAGTTTGCACAACTGAATAGGAAGACGAAGGTGACGTGACAAAAGCTGGTGAAGACTTGTTGGGACATTCTGTCTCGGCACAAAAATGAGTCATGTCAATACTTCTTACCACCTTTTCCAGCAAACTTTGAGCCCACATGATTTTGTAGTTGAGCTTTTTGGTAGATAAGATACTTAAATGTGGAATTTTAACAGCAAGACTAAGAGTTCTCCTTAGCTCCACTCAGGGTTTATGTAAAATACCTCCTGTGTTTTGAAAAGCAAATCACAGAGAGAGAAAGAGAGTAAGTACAAACAGGTCAGCTGATTGTTAATAAATATGCCAAGAACCCACTTAGCACTTCAATTTCTCAAATAAAACAGCAGTCATCCTCATTTGGGGCATTTCACAGAATTCTTAAAATTGTGTGATTTGTGCTATTTTGTATAAGCATTAACAGATTTTTGCGCAAAGCATCATTCTTGCTAATGCAAGAACTTTATCAATAGTATTGTGTTGTTACTCACCATCTGTGGTGGCTAGAAAAAGAAAGTTTGAGTTTCTCATCCTTGTCTGCAATACAGTTCGACAAAGCTACAGGAAGCTCTGTGGTTCCCATAATAGGCAGTGGTACACCTGTCATATAGTCTAAAAGTTATTTTTTCTGATTCTCAGCTTTCAGTGTTACACAACTCTTCCTTAATTGTATAACAGTTTTCATTCATGTAAATGTTTTGTTCCTTTCAGAAGGAACTGAAGCTACTGAAACAAATTGGTATTGAGGAGAACGAAGAAAGAGAAAAGGCGAAATTGATCAAGGTCCCCTCTTTAAGAAGGAGATACTCAGATAGGAGAACAGCACACACAAGACTGCTGGATCCAAAGAAAACTCAACAATTACCGTCTGTATCATCAGCTCCCACCTTGAGGGCTCCCCCAGAACGCACTAGCTACCCCACCTCAAAGCCCAAGGAGGGTTTGCATGAGTTCAGCCTTGGAGAAGACCCAGTTTTAGCAGGTTCCAGTAGCATTAATGCTACTCCTCCAGGAGAAGGGCTTGGTCTACAGGACTCAGTCCTGGAAAACCAGAACACATTTTCCTCCTCATCCTCTAACCTAAAAGCCCAGCAAACTGACAGTGATTTGTTGCAACTACAAGCCAAGAACTTAGAAGCACCAAACATCAAGAACATTAATGAGACTTACCTCTCCAGAACAGAAGCCAGAAGAAGTAAGACTACACCTGGCAGAGAATCATTTGACTTTCCCCCAACTTTAGAACAATTGGATTTATCTTCAGAGAGACTGGAACTTGCTTCTCAGGTAAATAATCATCTGTTTCCATGAATATCCCACACCTTAGCTGGGCAGCTGTGACATTCAAGGTGGCCCTCCAGTTTCCACCAACCCCTAGCAAGCGGATCCCAAGGTAACGAATCCTAAGAATGCCATCCAACAATATCCTGAAAGGCCACAGGTGCCCACACCAAAGGAAAACTACATAAACCCACAAGTTCTTATATATCACAAATATGTGTACTTGTATGTGTAATAACTTAAAATTGAACTAAGCATATAGAATATCATACAGTCTGGACAGTAAAATGTGCTGGTAAACCTGTCATTTGAGTATATTATATAGGAGAAGAAACATTCAGTAAATATTATCATTTCCTTTACTTAGTAAAAGCATATTGGCCAGTATGTTGTTGGATTTGCTACACAAGGAATAGTAGTCATGCAACTGTATTTCACTATTTTGCAGTCTGTCCATTAGTCAGTCAGTTGTGCAAGCAATGAGTCACTAGGTGCACAACAGCCAGCCAGGAAAATGGTAAAAACACTTGCTAAATTGCCATCCCATGCATGGTCAATCCAAAAATATACTGGCTAATGACCAAAATCCAATTGCACAGCTACACAGATGGAGGAAAATTGCCTTAAGTTAAGAACTCACTCTAGATGTTATCAGTTACACACTGAATCATAGAACTCAGTATGCAACTCAACGCCTACAGTGAGTTTCTTAACTTGTCATTTGTGCTGTGCTTTTGTAACTACATAAGATGATTTAAGCCTCTGTCCTTGAATCGCCGGCCTTTTCTCCTTAATGCTTGAAGTGGCTGCCTACCATTTTTCACTATCTAGACCTCAAGTTAGTGAATTCCAAAAAGAACTGAACTGCATTTCCTGGACTAATTTAAGATCTGAAAAGTAATTATCTACCAACTCTTACAGTTCCCAGATGTTCTGATACAGTTTTTGCCTCAGACATGCTCCTTGCATGGAAATGGTTTTGAAGGGCATTTATTTAGAAATGTGCAGTTGGAACCAATGGCTTGAATTACCCATATAAATGCAATGGCATGAACTGCACCAGCAAATTGTTGCTAGTTAACTAGAAATGAGCATAAAATGCTGGTTCGGTGGTTGAGTTCATTTCTCAGCTGAACCAGTGTTCAGCCATTCCCAGCCCAGAAGAGGCAGAGTAGGGACGCTGGGATGCTTGTATCCCTGATCACATTCCAGTTGTATAATTCCCTGCATGGCAAGGATGCAAGTGATAATTTTTCCAGAATCCTATTGGTGCAACTTTGCACACATGTCTGATGATGGCATTAGCCATGGCCTTTTATCTTGAATTAAAATTTTCCTATCCACTCCCCAAGGGTTTGAGTTCTTGTAGGGATTCATTTCAACCTGGGAAACTTCAGGGTGGTGGTGAAGTTTTTATTGTCTGAAAATTGTGCTGCCAGAACCTGAGGGTGGGGACCCAAAAATTAAAGATAAATATTTTATTTATTTATTAGATTTGTATCCCGCCCGACAATGTCTACTCATGGCGGCTTACAATAAAACATATCATAAAGTAATTAAGCAATTTGAGTTAATGGTATTAATATTGTTCAAGATGGGCAATGTGAGGAAAAAGCTAAGGTAAGAAGTAAAAATTAAGTTGGTTGTTGTGGGTTTTTCGGGCTCTTTGGCCATGATCTGAAGGTTGTTCTTCCTAATGTTTCACCAGTCTCTGTGGCCGGCTTCTTCAGAGGACAGCACTCTCTGAAGATGCCGGCCACAGAGACTGGCAAAACTTTAGGAAGAACAACCCTCAGAACACGGCCAAAGAGCCCGAAAAACCCACAACAACCATTAGATCCCACCGTGAAAGCCTTTGCGAATACATTAAAAATTAAGTATTGACAAAAATATATTCAACAAATATGTATTCACTAAGGCTTTCATGGCCGGGATCTAATGGTTGTTGTGGTTTTTTTGGGCTCTTTGGTCGTGTTCTGAAGGTTGTTCTTCCTAACGTTTCGCCAGTCTCTGTGGCCGGCCAAAGAGCCTGAAAAACCCACAACGACCAAGATTCAACAAATAGTTGAATCCTGCCAGCAGGACTCCAAACATTGCTAACAGCGATTCACTGCTTTAATCTGCATCATAACACTTAACAGCTAATCAAAAGCTAACCAATAAAAGACATGCAGATTTTTTAAAATCATGTCTATTACTGTGGAAATAGGACTGAGTGAACTTATGAGTAAACACATGCAAAAGTGAAACAAACCAGAATAGGTTGATTCATCTATTTCTACTGGCAGGTGGGATAAATGTACTCATTTTAACCAAAAAGGTAAGCTGTATATCTTATATTTGTACAAGCTTGCATCATAAGAGTTTTATGCATTTTAGGTTTCTGCAATGCACGGCAGCATGGAAGGTTTTCTAGAAAAGAGGGACCAGATCCTTCCAGGAAGAAAACCGGTAAGAGTCAGTTAAACCACTTTTGTGATATGGAAGGAAAGGACATACGGCATATCTGCTCCCTCATCTGTTAATCCCTGGGTGAACAAACAGTATAGGGCATTTCCTACTCCTAAGGAAGACCCTTCTTCAAAGCAAATTCACCCTGCAGCTCAGCATGTTGGTTCATAACTTTTCTCTATACTTGTGTATTTAATCTGCGCTGTATGCATAGGCTGGGAATGAGTATAGTCTCTTCTGGCATAATCTCAGAGCTGCTACATTTTGGGGTTCAGAATCCAACACCATCTGGGGATTTGGTCTCCTGAATCCCTGAGAGTTTCTGGATCTCTTGCTTTACCCACATCCGGTTTGAGAGGCTCTGACTCAACATCATTGGGCAATGTATCTGGTGAAGGTTGTGAAAACAAAACCAAGGGCAAAGATAATGGTCAAGTAATTTGTTTTCCCTTTTTATGGTGATGATAACAACTGAGGTCTTGCAAGGGATTCTGCCTAAGTTCTTCAGCTTAGCTCTTACAAAGTTTATTCTCTCTATCCTACTGTTTACCAGCACTTCAGGAAAGAGAAATTGCAAATCAGTGAAAGATTCTTTAGATGAATATAATAATTTAAAAAATCAGGAAGACAAGCTCAAGTAATAGGGTATTTTAGTAATACTGTAATCAGTAAGCTAATCACCCAAAGAATTAAGAGTTTCTAGGCTCCTAACTTAGTTTTATTTATTTTGTAGCCAAATACAAGAAGTTGGAACACTTACTATGTTAAACTTGGGAGAAAAAAGCTAGACTTCTACAGTGATGAAAAAGAAGCATCCCAGGTAGTTTGTTTTACAATCATTAAGCTCTTCTTGAACCTGCCTTGTAATCTGCCCCATCTCATTCTTTGAACATTCTTGAAGAAGTAGCTGTGTTAATCCCTGCAAGCACTTCAGAGAAAACAAAACAAAAAAAGAGACAAAAACATTGTGGCACCTTAAAGACCAACTACAGTGGTGCCCCGTAAGACGGGTGCTCCGTTTAACGACAAAACCAGTTTAACGACTAAACTGCTTGACGTCGATGTTTTTGCGATCGCAGTATGGAAACAACAGTTTTGAACTAAAATTTGACACAGGACCTGGGGTTTCCCACACAAGTGAGAAAGAAATTGACTCTGGAAGACTTGGTCAAAAGTCTTTGATTATAATTTTTTCTGCTGGTGGTTTTTCAGAATGGAACTCCAGTCTTATCAGCCAGCATAGCTGGAGCCAGGTGTGGCAGGTTGACGGAGTATTCTAGGAAAGAACATGCCTTCAGCTTAAGGTAAATCATACAGTATTGGTGACCACACGGGTGATACAAGTGTGAGAGAAATATTTTTTGTTTCTTTCATTTTCTTATACTAGTCAGGATGTTCCCAGAAGTATATGGATCCAAGATGTTTTTGTGTATTTTAATGTGAGCCTTTGTGCAGCAAGTCTGAAGAAGTGGAGTTGATCCACAAAAACCCACATTAAAATACAGCAGCTAAGTGTTAAGGTGCCACACAGGTTTTACCTCTCTCTCTCTCTCTCTCTCTCAAGATGTTTTTGTGGAATTAAATAACACCATCTTTATCATCATTAAAATTGTGTATTTTAGTCAGTGTGGTTATATTGAAATGATAGTGTTCAAGGATTGTGAAAGAGGCAGGTGTCACTTCACAATCCTATTCTAGGCCAAAGCAGGAAGCTTTCTCACAAATGGAAAGGTGAAACCATTATCAACCCTGTTACTTGCTCACTCCCAAACATTCGTTTCAATATTCTGTCTAACTGGCAGTTCTCTGGGAAGCAAGCAACACTTTTAGGTTACAACTAGGCCATTGCTTTTATTTAGCACCTATAGTCCCTAAGTAGCTGACCTGACAGCTCAGCCACATTCTGTATTAATGTCTAGTTTAAGATCATTTTATTTTCTTACACTGAAATAAATATATGCTTCCCCCATCCAGAAACAGAAACTGGCTGGCCAGAGTTTTTACACTTGCCATATGCATGAATGAAGGTCCCAGTCTAGGGCAAGGCTGTGTGCACTTCAGAAAAAGGAAGCGATTTAAATGTTATGCTGTATATCAATGAAGTATTTAGCTGAACCCTGAAATCAGTGTATGTTTAGGCCCCTGTCCTTTCCCCCAGAGAAAAAAATTAATTGGTTTTTATTTCATCTTCAGCTATTCAAATGATCCTTGCTGGTAAATCTCTTTCCCTATAAGTTGCCTCATGTCACTTCTGGTTATGCCCTCCCACCTCCTTAGGTAAAATGAACCTAATTTTCACAAGGGAGCATGGCTGGGCCCTCCAGTTAGTCAGAGGGAAGTGTCTGCCTTATGAAGCAAATATGGAGGAGGGAAGCAAAAGGAGTTGTTTCACCAGCTTCCCCCTCACCAGCTGTTCCCTTGTGCTGGAAGACAAAATAGTATATGCTTTACTGGTCTTGTGCCCTCGGGTAACCAGCATTGAGGAATAGGCACTCAACTTCCAGTCATATTAGTTTCTTTACACAAAATGGAGAGGGAACATACCCTGTCCTTTCCCTCAGATTGCAGAATATGTTTCTGGAAAACACTTAGGTCTTTGTGATATATTATCCATCTGTCCTTTTTGTGCTTATTATATGTGTTTATTTAGCATCAGAAAGGTAAAAAGGTAAAAGCATGAGTTCTTCATAGACATTTTGAGCAAAATGCAGAAAATATGTAGGGGAAATCTTTGGTATCTTGATGCCATGCTGGGGCTGAGGTGGGGGTGGAGAATTCTTGACAGGAGGTCTTACTATGGTGAGATAACCTGTCTCATCCAAAATCAAGCCAGTACTTAGTTTTCCTTACATCCCTACACTTCCATAATAGATTGCTTGCTGAAATCATTCTATGAAGGGGATTTCATGGTACAAGGGATTTCAGAGAGCATCCTGAGTACACCTGGAGCACTAGCCACACATTGTGTGAAGTGAGAATAGACCATAGAATGAACCTGGTTCATTCGTTCGTTCGTTCGTTCGTTTAGTCGTACTTGAACCTGGTATAGTCCTACAACTGCACATCATAAGGAAGGTTTGATCATGGTCATTCATCTCTTTTTAAAGGAAGCTTGCTCACCATTGACAATCTTTTCACTGAGGAGATCCTAATGAACCTCCAAGCAACCCTAGTAATCTCTAGAACACTCTGTAGCCATTGCTCTAGACTCTAGAGCAAGGGTGAACAGTGTCAGCAAGTGCTGGGGCCAATTTTGACCTGATGCTGAACCTCAGGATGGGAGATTGCAGTCGCTCATTTCTCTGTCCATCTACCTGCTATGACAAACATGGGAAATTGTGCCCCTGGAAGCATCTAAGGGTCGTATCTACCCTGTTTAAAAGTTATTTCAGCATCCCCAAGCATCTTTTAGGCCTAAAATAGCCTTGATTTTAAACTGGAAGTGGCTTTTAAAAGAGAATATTTTGAGTCCAAAGCAGGTCCTTCACCTCAAAATTATCTTTGCATGGCAATCATACCAGGCATGAGGCTGCAGGAGTGCAAATGATAATTTTTACATCGAAACACACATTGTGTGGGGTGTTTGGGGCACACTGAGGCCCTGGACAAGGGTGTCAGATGCAAACTGTGAGCTGTTCTTTGCCCATTTCTGCTCCAAAGCAAGGTTAGTTAATGTTTTCATTCTCCAAATTCCATTTCAGAGAAGATCTGCAGAGCAATATTTGAATCATAGGTAGAATGCAAAGCAAAGGAGTGTGACAAAAAGATCAGCATATTTTAGTTCAAAACTGTTGCTTCCACTAGGTAAGGCTTAGGAGAGGCATGATGGTGCAACATGGAATTGGTGTGACCATCTGGGGAACCTAAGAGAGCCATACTGTGGCCCTAGGAGGTCCGCAGTATGGAAGCAACAGTTTTGAACTAAAATTTGACACAGGACCTGGGGTTTCCCACACAAGTGAGAAAGAAATTGACTCTGGAAGACTTGGTCAAAAGTCTTTGATTATAATTTTTTCTGCTGGTGGTTTTTCAGAATGGAACTCCAGTCTTATCAGCCAGCATAGCTGGAGCCAGGTGTGACAGGTTGATGGAGTATTCTAGGAAAGAACATGCCTTCAGCTTAAGGTAAATC